ATGATGAGAATATGAGGGGCTGCTGCACAAACAGAAGCAGCCGTGCATCTGTAATGGGAGTTTACGTTGGGCAGACTGGGTGCTGATTGGATGGGAGGAGAGGTGGCGAGCAGCGGGGAGGAGTATTTGGGGTGAGGTGATGAAGGTTGAGGAGCAGGTAAACTCTAGAGAAGCCGTGAGGTAGAAGTTAGATCTGAAATTACGCTAGCTCCTTTTCAGTAATCAATAATAATCTGAATCCAGAAATCAGATAATGACCAGATTTTTCAAGTGCAAGTAAAGTGTGACCAGTTTCAAACCAAATCATAACATGGACCAAAACAGAGCAAAGCAAGGTGTATACTAAATCTAACTGTGACTAACGCACAGGTGAATAAGACAAAGCAAGAACAGAGACACAAAACAAAATGTAAAAAAAAACTATGATTGTACAAGTGCAAAGTACTACGAGCTGTGCCCATCTCAGTGTATTTTGAAAATATTCAGAGAAAGACCTGTGTGTAAGTCAGATGGATGCGTTCTTGACCTTTTGTCCACATTACATGCTCCACATAGACTGGTGTATTTTTCTGCTCTCGTCTCCACAGTGAAAGTGTAGCACCAGGTGTTTTGCCCAGCGGGTGCAGGCGGGACGGTTATTATTAGACCAGGCAACATTACATACACACAATGTCTACTGCTGCTGCAATACCTGTGTTTTACATTGTCAAGCTCAGTCACCTTCTCCCCATCTCCCGTGGTCTGCCCGCCTTATTTTAGCTGCAGTTTGGTTCTGAATCATTAGCGGTGAGGACGAGTCTTACCTGTGTAATACATTATACTTATTTAACCCAAAGCATATATATACTGTACTGTATACCTCTAATGTAGGGGCATCCAAAGGTTTTTCCTCAGCGGGCTAAAATGAATGTGCATTAGTGGGTTGAGGGCCAAACCTAATTAAAGTTTGCACATAAAAATTTTCTTCTGCAAAGAAATTTATCATTAAATTGACTTTAAATATTTGGAAATAGACAGGATTAGCCTCGATCCCATCTCCTGACAGTCTTTTCAATGCAAACTTGTATCAAACTAGTTTATTCTTTAAATCTCAGATGGTCTTCCTGGGCCAAATTAAACCCTCTGGAGTGCTAAGTTTGACCCATGGGCCCCTCTTTGATCACCCCTGCTCTCATTATATTTGTCCTACTCTTATGAAACTATATGTCCCACAATGGGGAAATTTCAGTGTTGCAACACAGCGGACCAAGAACAACAAGAGAACACAAAATATGCAATCGAACGTAAGAACTATTTGAGACTGAATTGTAATCATTTAACTAGAATATTAGAATATACATATTATAGAGTTAAGATACAAAAAGGCATTGAAAATAATGATATTATTGGTATATTATATTGACTGGCTATAATGTACAGCTCCTAGAGGTGAATCATCACATAGAGTTACCTCAGTTGATTAAGTTATCTACTCATACAAAAATCCTTGTACAATATACACAGGGCGGTGTCTAAATGCTGCTCATACACCTAAAGGTTATCTTTGGTCTGAGAAATGAGCTGAAATGTCAACACAGGTGCCTCTGACCTCCTTCAGTTTATGCAAGTTTTACTTTTACATATTCAGCAACTTTGTGAACAAGAGTCTGTCAGAGTTTTGTTATGATAATTTACTTCTCTCAGTGTCTTGGACTGAAAATATTATAATTACACCCACAATGATGAATATTACAAGTAATAGCCATAATTTCCACTCGTTTAGGTTGAATAGATTGGTGCAGCTTTGATTTGATGAATGAAAATAGCTCCAAAAAAATGACTTCAATTTCAAAGAAGAACAGAGGAATTGCAGCAGATGTACATTTTGTATTCAAGTGGCGTATCAGACCGGACACCAATAGTGAAAGGGCAGTGTACCAGGAAGCACAATACAAAGTCAATGGGAGAGTTTCTAAAGTTCAGAGTAATCTTGTTCACCTTACACACAGGACAAATGGGCAGGAGCACACACTTACTGCCATCACGGGGGGGGGGGTCTGCTCAACTGCACATTTTCTTCTTTTTCCTGGTCAATAAGAACACACATGGTCTCTTTGCAATTATAACAAAATAATCAAATTTATAAAGGTATTTCTTTGACATTAATCACATCTTTGGCATTTTGATTTATAGCGTGGCCAGGTACAAAGTGTTGACTATCTTGGAATGAGTTTCACAGTGTTCATATGTTTGTTGACAACAGTCTTAACATTTCATCATTCGGAAACCCATGGATAGTTTCTGAAACCCAGTTCCATTATGTCATAAAAAATCTTACTTTAGAAGACATAATTATGGGGGTGGAAAAAAAATCACAATATGAATGAGTGTGATTTGTGGGTTTCTATCAAAGATATGAATATGCAGTAAAAGGCTATTAGATTAATTGAATCCGTATGTAGCTCAATATATCAAACCATATAATTTCAAAAGTTTGTGTGAGAACTCCTAATTCTGGTCCAATGTTTATAAACCAAAAATGTTGAAAAATTAATTTGCTAGCATCTGAGGTAGGGCATCCGATATAAAACTTTTTTTCTATACTAATATCATTTCTTATATGTCAATCAGGTCAGGAGCGCATAGGGATCGACTCTAAGTACGAGCAGGAGGGGAAGGTGCAGTTTGTGATTGACGCAGTGTATGCCATGGCCCATGCGCTTCACGACATGCACCGAGACCTGTGTGCCCGGACCACCCCTCCGTCTGCCCACAGATGGAGGCAGCAGAGGGCAAGACGTTGCTCAAGTACATCCGCAGCGCCAGCTTCAATGGTGAGTGACACGGCACATAATCACAACACAGAGACCGAAAGATAGAAGAAAGACAGGGTGAAGGATTATGCATGTGATGTAACAGGCACAGTGAAGAAGACATTATGCTTCTGGCAGCAATTTTTTTTTTTTTTTAAATTTAGGATTAAGGGATAAGCTGTTCCTGAGGGTCAGATAGTTATAATCTATGGTATTTGTGGATCTTTATTTATATTCAAATTGCAATATACTGAAAAAAGTTGAAAAATCTTTTATGGTACGTCAAAGTAAATGCCATCACAACAAAGTGCCGTGCAGATGGACCACCTTAACTAATATACACTTCATGTTAGCAGGCAAAGTGAAGTGAGTAAATAGAAATTGGTGTAGGGAAAACAGGAATTCTGGGATCAATGGTATCTTGAAGGCAGGAAAATCAAGATTTCTGGAACATGCATGATACGATCTAAACACAACTTTGACTGTGTAAATGCACAGGAAAAAAACAATATCTACTGTAGTTAAATTAAAATGATTTAAATTAAGAACATTCTACTTTATTTGAGTAGATTCAACTTGACAAGTAAAAGAATCTACCAATGGAATAAGTGTGCTTTTCTTAATTCAAGCAATATTCGATTATGTTTCTTATTTTAAGTGCAAAACGTTGTTGTTTTTCTTATTTTAAGTGTAGCAAGATGTGTTTTCATATTTTAAGTACAAAAAGTCTTATTCCACTGGCAGATTATTTTACTTCTTAAATAAAATGTACTCAAATCATGATAAAACTTTCTTAATTCAAGTCATCTTAACTTGGCTAGATTTTTGTTTTTTGCAGTGTGGGAAGGAAAACAATAATAATGTGGTTAAAAACTCTTAAAATTGTATTTAGCATAATATGTCTCCTTTAATTGTAGATTTGATTTAATGAGTTGGTCTAAACTTGTATCTGACTGTTTTTAATGTATTATTTTAATTTCAAGAAGAAAAAAATGTTGGTTTGATTAAAACATTTTCATTTCAATAAATTGTAATTGTTTTCTAAGTATTATAAATGAACAAACACGGCTCTACTGACAGATCATTTTGCTTGTAACTAGAAAATAACATTTATGCATCCATTTAAAGTTTCGAAATACTATAAATTAAAACTAGTCACATTTATTCAAATCAAGATAGATTCCAGTGATTTAATTCATTACATATCCATCTTTTGCAGTGATAGTGATAACTGGAGTTTGTATTCACTAAGGTATGAAAGAATGTGTTGGCATTTTAAAAGGTATTATATACTTACACACAAACTGTAATAAACCTGCAAAGATTTCATTAGCTTCTTATCCTTGGAGCTGCTGCACTTTATAAAGGGATTTAATAGAAAGTATAAACTTCCTGTCTTCAGTGGGTCCCCAAAATATCCGCAGTCTAATCCACTGAACTTTTTGCAGATAAAGGCCACATATCTAGCCTGGGTTAGAAACAACTGATATAATCTGCCCTTAAAGTCAAACTGTTATTACTGCTTTGATCTCTTCCAGACCTGATGCCATTATTAGACCTATCACAACAAGAAATTATGAAGCACGCTGTATTACTACTAAAAATATAATGATAAATGATAATACTGAAACTACTTTTTGCCTCTGACACAATAAAAATAAAACAATATAATCCCAGTGAACCATTACTAAAACTAGAGTATCATTAAAAGGCATGAGCTGCAACAAATAAATATCTGAAAGAATAAAATATCTGAAATAATTAGTCATAGAATTTTTTTAATCAATACTCCACAGCTCTAATCTTATGTAATTACAATAAAAATAACAAACATCTCCTCACTATTAATGTAGAAAAGAAAATGTAAGCGCATTAAAAATATATAGTTCCAGCTTTCATATATGGAACGATAAATCAATATAGTGATTATCATGACAGGCCTAGTCATTATGTATATTAGATTATATTACATGAGGACATCTGTATTATTATTTATATTGTTTATAAAGAAACACATGTTTGTGCTTGTTCAATAAAACTTTCTCTTTGAAAATCCTTAGCTACTTTATTTGAGTGCTTATATACGCTGGTAGACCATAGGAAGGAGGAGAAGGATGCAGATTTGGTGGATTCATTTACAGCTTCAAAATGAGAACAGTTTATAAATCTAGACAAACCAATGACAGGTATGCCTATTTGGATCAAAGACCACGATTACAGGATCTTCTACAGTACACAGTGTCTTCACAAAATGTTCCACATACGATTGGGTTTGTTTTACACAGAAATCAGCATAAAAAAGTTTGGAGAAAAAATGCCCTAGTTTCAAAGCATAGCATGTTCTTTTTTGTACATGTCTGGAAGCAGCTGGGATGTACAGATGGGATTAGATGTGAGGAAACTAGGAAATGCCTTCAAAGATCCTTCTATATACTGAAATGATGTAAAAACTACTATAGTTGCAAAAAAAAGCTTTTCATCTCAGCATTAGCAAAATAAACATTTGTGTTACACCAAAGATAACATGGGTTCGTTGATTCTTCTGTTTACATTGTTTATATTTAAAGAGCTGCTATACTGTATGGAGCACAATGAAAATATATTGCCCTTTGTGGCTAGATTAAACACTCCATAACTCACTATGTACCTTACTAATTAACCACCACACTGGGATGCATTTCTTAAATAAATAGTCTATTCATCAAAATTACAAAATGTGTCATACAAAGAGTTTAACAAATTGTATCTAACGTTCTTATCCTACAGGGGTTACTATTGCTATCACTACAAAATTACCAGATTTATTACATCTATACATTATTTTTACTTGGGGTTGTATTCATTATAAAACTGTACACGGTGGAATTGCTATAATGTGTGCTATATATCCTAATGCAAACACTTAAACATACAGTTTAAACAAGGAGATGACAGACACACACAAACAGATGCAGACAAATTAGACTTATGAATCCTAACTGGGCACAAGCCATAGAGTGAGGGGTGAGACGCCATAGGTTAGGAAATCTTCCTGAAGAAATAACCAGTTAATTGAAGATTCGTCTGGCTGGAGTGCAATACTGAACACAACGCGTCCCGCCTTAGAATCGCCTGTGACTCGCACGAGACAGGCCACAGGCAGGAAACCGTCAACCAACCAAGGGTTCTGCTACTAGTACTATTACGATTACTACTACGATTACTTCTACGATTATCTCTACCAATACTACTACTAGTACTACTACTAATACTACTACTACCACCACCACTATTACTACAACAAAAAAAACAACAACTTTAAAATCAGTGGTGATGTTTCTGGTTGGACCCAGAAGTGACGGCATCTCTTAAAGGTGCACTATGTAACTTTTCGGTTGGAGTGTCCGTCACCTTCTTGTTTCTATGGAAATGTCATTGCTCTGCTTCAAATGTTCCACAGTATGACATTAAACAGCTCTACCTTACATTTGTGCAATTACAGGTGATTTTACAGCTCAAAAATACCTAGAAAAGCAGGCGTTCTGACTGTGAGCGGGGTCGCCTCTCCACAGATCTGACCTGTAACTTAGTTTGGTTTGGTCTCCGTGATGATAAAAAGGTTTAATGCCATACCGTGACACATTCCAGGCAAAGCAATAACGTCTCCAAGGAGAAAAGCAGGTCCGACAGAAAGTTACACAATGGGCGTTTGACCTTAGAAACATCATTTAGAAAACATTTTTGTCGTACAGTCTGTTGGAAAATAAACACATTGCAGCATTAAATTCTGGTTTAAAAATGATATCTTAGTCATGTTTCATTGACAGGTGGAGTATTACAGGCACAACACAAAAAAAATATGAAATCAACCAAAATAAACCAGACCTATGTCACTGTGTTGAATCAGTTGCTTCTGACTCACTGCCCAGTCATTTGTATGTGGTAACGGTACAAAAATATTACATTACTGGAGATATTTTTATGCCTCAATTTTAACCATTTTGTCGACTCTTTTCATTTACACCTGATTTATTTTTTAGTTAAAGCCCCACTGCTTAACATTTCAGCCAAATAATCGACTAAAACACAACCATTTGTTTCATTAAGGGTGTTTCTATTGAACATTGAACGGCATGTGTCATTACTGCAAGCTTGCCTCTCCACAGACTTGACTTGTAATTTCATGCAAGTGGAGTGTGATACATTTAGTATCTGCCTCTATGGAGAATGTTTCACAGTGCAGCTTTATTTTTCTAACACCGTGATTTGTAGATGATGTGGCTAATGGCTAACTCTGCTTCAGTCCTAGTTTGGCCCTGTCTCAGTCCTGGTTTAGTTCTGGTTTAGTTCCAGGTTTCAAGCCCTGGTTTAGTCCTAGTTTAGTTCTGATTTAGCCCTGGTTCAGACCCAGTCAGTTATGGTTTAGTCCTTGTTTAGTCCTGATTTAGTCCTGATTCAGCCCTGGTTTCAGCCCTGGTTTGATTAATCCTGATTTAGCCCTGGTTCAGACCCAGTCAGTTATGGTTTAGCCCTTGTTTAGTCCTGATTTAGTCCTGGTTTCAGCCCTGGTTGGTTTAATCCTGATATGGCCCTGGTTCTGACCCGGTCAGTTATGGTTTCAGCCCTGGTTTCAGCCCTGGTTTAGTCCTAGTTTAGTTCTGATTTAGCCCTGGTTCAGACCCGGTCAGTTATGGTTTCAGCCCTGGTTTCGGCCCTGGTTTCGGCCCTGGTTTCGGCCCTGGTTGGTTTAATTTCCTGTTGACCCTTTGGTTTCCCTGGTTCCTGGTTTCGACCCTGGTTCAGCCGGTCAGTTATGTTTCAGCCCTGGTTTCAGCCCTGGTTTCAGCCCTGGTTTCAGCCCTGGTTTGGTTTCGGTTTCGGCCCTGGTTAAATCCTGATTTGGCCCTGGTTCAGACCCGGTCAGTTATGTTTCAGCCCTGGTTTCAGCTCTGGTTTCAGCTCTGGTATCAGCCCTGGTTTCAGCCTTAGGTTAGACCTGGTTTAGTCCTGGATCAGTCCCAGTTTAGTCTTGGTTCTGCCCTGTTTCAGTCCTAGTTCAGTCCCAGTTTAGTCCAAGCTTAGTCCTGGTTTAGTACTGGCTGTTTTAGTCCTGGTTTAGTCCTGACCTTGTTTGCCAGCAGAATGCAGGGGAGGGTCTGTCCGTTGGGGAGTCTGGTCTTCAGGTCCAGGTCTTGTTTCCAGAGTCGACAGCTCAGGAAACTAGAAGAGTCGCTCACGTCGAATATGAGCACACAGCCCACAGCGCCGCGGTAATAAATACGAGTCATCGAGATGAACCGCTCCTGACCTGCACACACAGCAGCGAGCACGAGAAGAAAAGTAGTAATAGTAGTAAAAGTAATAATAATAGAAATAGTAATAGTAGTAGTAGTACTAGTAGTAGGCAGTTAGTCACAGTAGAAGTACTAGTAGCAGTAGTACCAGTAGTAATAGTAGTAACAGTAATAGAAATAGTAGTAATAATAGTAGTAGTAGCAGCAGTAGTAGCAGTAGTAGCAGGAAGGTAATTAGCCACAGTAGTAGTAGTAGTAGTAGTAGTAGTAGTAGTAGTAGTAGTAGTAGTAGTACTAGTACTAGTACTAGTAGTAGTAGTAGTACAGTTAGTCACAGTAGAAGTACTAGTAGCAGTAGTAGCAGTCGTAATAGTAGTAATAGTAATAGTAGGAATAGTAATAGTAGTAGTAGTAGTAGTAGTAGTAGTAGCAGCAGCAGCAGTAGCAGTAGTGGGAATGGTAATTAGCCACAGTAGTAGTAGTAGTAGTAGTAGTAGTAGTAGTAGTAGTAGTAGTAGTAGTAGCAGCAGGCAGTTAGTCACAGTAGAAGTACTAGTAGTATCAGTAGTAGTACTAGTAGTAGTACTAGTAGTACTACTAGTAGTAAGTAATTAGTAGTACACAGTCACAGTAGTAGTAGTAGTAGTAGTAGTAGTAGTAGTAGGAATAGAAATAGTAGTAGTAGGTAGGGTAGACATTGAAGAAGTACTTGTGATAGTGACAGTAGTAGTTGTAGTAATGGATTGTTATTAGTAGCAGTAGTACTAACTAGTTGTAGACATAGAAATACTGTAGGTAGTAAGCTGTAACTTGTAACAGTTAGTGAAAGTAGTAGGCCTAATTACTGGTAGTATATTAATAGGCATAGTAGTATTTAGATAGTGGTTAGAAGTAGTAGTTAGTAGCAAGCAGTAATTGTGTAAATTGTGTTGATAACAGTAGTGGTTAAGTGCAAGTAGTAGTAGATGGAAGGTTAAGAGCGCAGCAGATGTGTTGTAGTAGTAATAGTAGTAAGTTTGTTAGTCTTAGTCATAGTAATTTAAAGTTAATGTAAAGTAGCTGTAATTATCACAGTAATTCACATTTACATTTGTAGGGCATGCAAGTGATTGAAAGCAGCACCAGCAGTAAGTAGCAGTTGTGTTAGTATTAGAAGTACTGCAGTAGAAGTAGTAATAGTAATAACTGTAGTATTTGCTTGTACCTGCTATGTCCCAGAGCTGTAATCTGACCTTCTCGCTTTCTGACCACTGCAAGATCTTCAATGAAAAGTCCACTGGAAAAACACAAACATTTTATCAGAACATTGTAGTAGTAGTAGCAGTAATAGTAATAGTAATAGTAGTAGGTAGTTAGTTAGTCACATCAGTAGTAGTAGTAGCACTAGTAGTAGTAGCAGTAGGTTAGGAGTGCAGATGTGTTATTGTTGTAGTAATAGTAATAGTAATAGTAGTAGTAGTAGTAGTAGTAGTAGTAGGTAGTTAGTCGTAGCAGTAGTAGTAAAATGTAGTTAGTAGCAGTTAATTAGTTGTAGCTTGATTGCAGTAGTTACATGTTAGTTTAGTTGGCAAAAGTACCAGTAAATGTTTCCATAGTAGTAGTTTGTCACATGTAGTAGTAGTAGCACTAGTAGTAGTAGTAGCAGAAGTGGTAGTAGTAGTAGCAGAAGTGGCAGTAGTTAGGAACAGTTAATTAGAAGCAGTTGGTTGTAGTAGTTTAGTTGGCAAAAGTACCACTAAATGTTTCTATAGTTGTAGTTTATAGTAATTGCAGTAAAATTAACATGCAGTAGTAGTAATAATAATACCTCCTACTGTCATCTTGTAGTTTCCGCTGAACTGCCCGTTGACGTAACGATTAACAAACGAAGATTTTCCAACATTTCCGTCTCCAATGATCAGTATTTTCATCAGATGTTCCCTCATGCTTCGGGCCGGCTCTGAGATTCCTCCGACGAAACTCTCTGTGAACATGGCCAAAGTTCACAGCACTTATCTCAAAACGTACAATAAAAATGTATGTATCCTAGCAACAAAGACGCTGGGTAAATATGCGGAATAGTTTGAAACACTTTGCATGTACAGACAGAGAAAGGATGAAGGAAGAATGAAAGACAGAAACACGCCTTTTTAATGTGTTAATGTAGTAGTAGTAGTAATAGTAGTAGTAGTAGTAGTAGTAGTAGTTTAGAAGTAGTACTAGTAATAGTAGTAGTAGTAGTAGTAGTAGTTAGAGGTAGTAGAAGTAGTAGTAGTAGTAGTTAGAGGTAGTAGTAGTAGTAGTAGTAGTAATAGTAGTAAGAGGTAGTAGTAGTAGTATTAGTAGTAAGAGGTAGTAGTAGTGGTAGTAGTTGTAGTTAGAGGTAGTGGTAGTCGTAGTAGTAGGTAGTTAGTCAGAGTACTAGTAGTAGTAAAAGTAGTAGTAATAATAGTAGAAGTAGTAGCAGTAGTAGTAGTAGGCCTAATAGTATTTAGATAGTGGTTAGAAGTAGTAGTAGCAGTAGTAGTAGTAGTTAGAGGTAGTAGTAGTAGTAGTAGTAGTAATAGTAGTAGTTAGAGGTAGTAGTAGTAGTAATAGTAGTAGTTAGAGGTAGTAGTAGTAGTAATAGTAGTAGTTAGAGGTAGTAGTAGTAGTGTAGTCGTTGTAGTTAGAGGTAGTGGTAGTAGTAGTAGTAGTAGTAGTAGTAGTCAGAGGAGTACTAGTAGTAGTAAAAGTAGTAGTAATAATAGTAGTAGTAGTAGCAGTAGTAGTAGGCCAAATAGTATTTAGATAGTGGTTAGAAGTAGTAGTAGCAGCAGTAGCAGCACTAGCACTACTGTAGTAGTAGTAGTAGTAGTAGTAGTAGTAGTAGGTAGTTAGTCAAAGGAGTACTAGGTCTGTGTGTCACACAGAGCAGAATGAACAATATTTATGTATACAGTCTATGAAGAGCACAAACACTTCAGACTTTAAGCCTTTATCAGGACACATGCTGTTTTATGATCAGAGGATCCATGTTTGGATGCAGCACCTTCATTTACAGTGAAAAATCCCTCACCTGCCTGTTACACATAAAGCAGCAGCAGTTCTTTAATCATGCAAATGAAAAATACTTAAATGCTGCTTGTCAGCCTAAATGATCTGCACATAAGAGTGAGAGTCTCTTATAGATTTGAGATTACTTTGGCCAGTATGATATTTGACATATTTTGAGAGAACAAACTTTATGTAATATGAAATAAAACAACAGCACCAACAGTTTATTGTAAAATATTTACAATTTATTGTTTAGAACAGCAACTGTAGAGTTTTGAGTCCTCACAGAGGACACTGAGCACAGACCGACTTCAGCCTGAAACAACAGAAAGAAAATGTTATTTCACATCAGACTGAGCAGCAGTGTGCACTGACCCTTAAAGATGACAGACAATAACATCTCTGCATGTGCATTTACAGTTTTAAGTATGTACTTACAGTTATAGACAATTACCATCTCTCCATACATTTGCATTAGTAGTAGAAGCAGTATTAGTAGTAGTAGTAGTAGTTATTTAGTTAGAGTTAGTAGTAGTAGCAGAAGTAGTAGTAGCATTAATAGTAGTAGTAGTAGTAGTAGTCATAGCAGTAATAGTAGTAGTAGTAGTAGTAGTAGTAGTAGTAGTAATTAGTAGAGTGTTAAGTGTCTTGACTGTGTATCACCCATTAAGAAAAGAAATAAAGAACAAAGTAAATACAGAGTAGTGGGCGTGTACCTGTGGATGTGAAAACCAGGACTGAGTGAAATAAGCAATTAAAGACGACTTAAAGACACTCAAACATGCACGAATCCCTCCAAATACAACTCTGAGAGGGTAAATGAGAAGTGGAAACAAATATAAAATGGTTAAAAGCTCTGAAACTCAGATTTTTGAGAAAAGTTCTGCTTTAAAAACTAATATGTATACTGTAGTGGGGGTAATCCTTCATATTTTTTCAGTTTGGCCTACACTTGTGTTTCACTTTATAACCAAATCATCATGAACATCCACAGAGCCACTAGGGGGCGGTGCTGTCACAGGAAAACTGACAATGGGATTTTCTGGACTTTTCACATCTGAACATGTATTAAGTGATGCAAATATACATGAACTGAAGAAGCAGCTTGGATGAGCTGCCAAACGTCTTCAACCAAACTAACTTTTGTCCCGTCCACAAACTGAATTTTCTCCTCACAAATATACATAGTTGGAAGAACAGTATCCGGTCCAGTCATTCACTATTCCTCAACAACAAATATAAAGGGACCCAATTAAAAATTTTACACAGGCAGCACAGAACAGCAGTTTTTCTGAGCAGGATTGACCCTAGTAGATCACCTTTATGTCTTAAATGCCAGGCAACTGATGGAACTTATTTACACTGTCTGTGGACTTGCCCAAAAATCTCCAAATTCTGGCAATGTTTAACTAAAGAAATAAGCAACATAGTGAAATTAAAACTAGTGGTTGATCCGGGTTGGTTTCTGCTGGGGCTGCCATCTTTAAACAAAGTGTCAGACAAAAGTAAATTAAAATTAGTGGCTAAATTACCATTTCTGGCCTGGAAGTTTGTGCTGTTTAACTGGATTCACGAGAAGCCACCAACTGTCACCCAGTGGTATAATGAAAATTTTTGAGTCTTACCCATGGAAAGAGTCAGTGTAAAATTGAAAGGTAATGGTGATTTTTATATGGAGTTGTGGCGCCCTCTGCTGGATTACAGTGTTGTGGAGGGGCAGGTGTTGCTTAATTGGGTAATATTTATATAATGAGGAAAACTCAAACATATGCTCAGACTGCTCTTTGTTTTATGTGTTGTATTAAAATGTTGAAAACTTAATAAAATATGTTTTTTTTTAAAATGCAAATATTATAAAAAACAGTACTCAAAATAAATGAAAACAGACAATATAAACTTGTATATGCCCTTATTTATTATTGCGCATACAAAAGTGTGTGCAACGCAGCTTTTGCCTTGTCCTTAAAATAAATAATAATTGACATTTTGTTTAAAGGTCCCATATTACACAAAATTGACTCTTGAGAGCATTTAGCCATGTTATAATGTTGTTACCTCCTCAAAAACAGACACGGAGATGTGTTTTGTTTCATTCACACATGTTTGAGTAACACTTTTATCTGTCTGTTTACACCTCCAAAGCTCATAATGCTCTGTTCCACCTTGTGATGTCATCAAGTGGTAGTTAACAGTTAACAACTTTTATTAACTTCAGTTGAAACCTTCTTCAGTTCAGTTGAGATTGCCACGTAAAGTGTAAAAAGGCTAAACGGTGCTAAAAACAATAGCTGTAGCTTCAAAGTCGAGCACTTCCTGTATTGCCACTTGATGACATCACTAGGAGGAACAGAGGGTTTTCAGTTTGAGAGAAGAATGCGGCTTAAATACAAGATTGTTGTGTTAAACATGTGTGAATGAAACAAAACACAACTCCAGGCATGTTTGTGATGAGGAAACAACATTAAAACATAGCTCAGAAATTAAAGTAATATAGTCCCTTTAATTTAATAAAAATCAACCCAAAATAGTGTCCCTTTAATATATGAATAACATGGAAGACAGTGATTTAAATACAATTAATAATAATACTAATCATAATAATAACAAATGTTTAGTTACAAAAATACAGTAACATCATTTAAAAGGTAAAAACAAAGGAATGAATCAGGATCAAAACACATTTATGCTGCATAGAAAATGTCACAAATCTCTAATATAGAGAAAAGTAAACAGGAAGTTACGCCATGTCATACCAAATAAGGACAATAAGCCACGCCCCAAATTTTATTAGCAAAATTTGGGAGTTTTGTCTATGTGCTTATAGATGCCAAACGTGTTCAATGTTTAGCCATGTCTTGTTTGTATCATATGAAATTAAAAAATACATTTATAGATATAAAAATAGTGATGATTGAAGTTTATGATGGAAAAAAAAATCCAAAATATGAGACGTTTTTGCTAACAAACTATAGGTTCTACAATAAAGGTGCACTGACTTTTCTGGTTGGTGGTCTGCCAGCTGCTTGTCTCCATGGAGATGTTATCGCTTTGGCTGAAATGCTCCACGTTATGGCATTAAAGGTTACATAAAATTGACTATTATGAGTTTTTAGCCTTTTTACCACATCAAAAACAAACCTGGAGTTGTGTTTTGTTTCATTCACACAAGTTTGAGTAACACTTTATTGTTCGTCCGTCTATATCTCCAAATTTCAAAATGCTCAGTTCCACATTGTGATGTCATGAAGTGGTAGTTTTTTTAAGTTAACAGTGACATTTTACCTTTTTCTTAATAGAGATTGGAAATTCCAGGTCTGAAATGATCCAAATGTTTCAAGTGAAGGTGTGTGGAGTTTAAAAACACAGTGGAGCACTTCCTGTATTACACATGACATCACAAGGTGGAACGGAGTGTTTTCTTTTTGAGAGAAGAATTCAGCGTAAATATACAAGGTTTGTGTGTTAAATGTGTGAATGAAACAAAACACAACTCCAGGTCTGTTTGTGACGTGGAAACTATGGAAGATATTTTGTTCCACCAGATTTTGAATTTTAAATACCGCTGAATTTATGACTTTTTTAAATCTGAAAAAAGAATTGAATTAATTGTATTCTGAATTTTTGTTGCTGAAATTTTAAGTGTACTTTTATATATATTATATTTCAAATTCAAAATAAAAATGTCACCTTTTAAATATTCAGCACAGATCTTTTCAAACCCTCAAATTCAAAAGTTAAAGTACGTTCAGACTGCAGGGCTTAACGCTCAATTCAGATTTTTTTTGTGAAATCCGATGTTTTTGCGAGGTCGTTCACATTTCCAATTAAATGCAACTTGTATGTGAACCACGAGTGTGAACATTAAACGGCCCAAAAGTGTCCTGCATGTGCACTGGACACATGACGACGTCAACCGCAGCGAGCGTCTCTGTGTTTACGGAAGTTATCCAAACATGGACACGAGCATTGAGCACCTGGAGATTTTAAAGTTCCTCTCGTACCGGAGCCAGAACATGAACAACTTATTTGTTTTAAGGAGGAGATTGAGAAGGAGAAAGATGAGGTTTTTGGCCGTGGTGTTTTGTGGTCCAGTTTGTTTAAAGGAACGTGTGGATGTGGAGACGTAGCCAAGAGTGGTGAGTGGCGATGTGCTTTGCTTCAGTGACACAGAGTTCATTAACAATTTTCGTATGATGAGAAGAACGTTTGTGTACATTTGTCGCTTGGTGATAACGTGTAGGTCGGATGAATGCGCCTTGGCCATTCAGACTGAAGTCGCATGTGAAAAGATTGGATATGTATCGGTTTTAGGAGCTCATATCCAAGAGGCCTGGGTCACATTTGAAAAAATTGGATCTGTGTCGTTCAAACTGTCATTAAAAGATCAGATACAGGTCACACAGGGGCCAAAAAATCGGATTTGGGTCACTTCAGGCTGCAGTCTGAACGCAGCCTAAGTTAGATCGGATCACTTTGGATCGACTGCTTCGACCTTAGCATCTTGGATCTTTCCTGCGATTTTTTTTCACTGGGAATTTTACACTCTAAAATTAAAAAAATAAAAAAAAATCACCTTTTAAATATTCAGTACAAATATATTCAAGCCCTCATATTTAACAGTCAAAATTTAAACACTTTGAAAATGTACACTTAAAATTTCAGCAACTAAAATTCAGAATAAAAATAATATAATTCAAACATTTAAAATTCAAAATCTGATGAAACAAATTATCTTCCATGGGAAATAACATTATAACATAGAAAATAGCGTAATACGGACCCTTTAATGCCATACTGTGAAACATGCAAATCAAAACCACAACATCACCATGGAAACGAGCACCGGAAAAGTCACACAGCGCACTCGAAGCATTTCTGATTGTCAGTACGTGAAGTAGTGCCGAATATTTTTGACACAAATACATAAAAAAGTGTAAAAATATAAAAAGCAATCAACATAAAAACGTATATATACACAAGAGCAACCAGTGAATATTTGATGAGGATTTTAAAATAGAGCAGACAATAATATTTTCTCTATGATTTAAACATACTTTGAAATTCCTTTTTGCAATAAATAGGCTAATGCATGTAGACAGGGTTTCACACAGATACAAAAATAGGTGCGTTAATACTTTCTTTCATTTATAACTGTGAACGCCAAAACAACTCTTGTGCTACAAAACATAAAAATGTAATAATGATCTCTAAGAATCTATAAATATACAGTTAAGGTAGTTTTCTCACAGTGCAGAGTAAAGCAGGAATTGAACAAAATAAAAAAAAATTGTGTAAGATCAAAGCTGCACTGCGTATCTTTTCTGGTAGAGGATCCGTCAGATGCCATTGCTATGCCTGGAATGTTTCGCAGTATGGCATTAAACCTTTCTATCTTCACGGAGACCAAACCAGACCAAGTTACAGGTCAGATCTGTGGAGAAAGTCTGTTTTTCTTGGTGTTTTTGAGCTGTAAAACCACTTGTAATTGAATAAATATAAGGTAGAACCGTTTCATGCCAGACTGTGGAACATTCCAGGCAGAGCAGCGACGTATCCATAGAAACAAGCAGGTGACGGACCCCCAACCGAAAAGTTACACAATGCATTTTTATTTATTTAAAATGTAAACTCAAATTTTTTAAGTTGTGCTAAAATGTGAATTGAATACATTTTGAATTGTAATTATGTTCTGTTCTGTGTGTATTACGCTTAGAACCAAATACTTTTGCTTGAGTACTTTTATTTTAACTAAACAAATGTAAATTAGTGTCGTCACGATACTAAAATTTCAAACTCGATCTCGATACTAAAGAAAAAGCCTCGATACTTAACATTAGGGTCCACGAGAACGAGACAAGACGAGATTTTGACATCATTTCTAAGGTGTAAAAAGCCAGATTTGGTTCACAAATTTGGCTTCAGAGTTTGTTTGTTTTTTCGTTTAATATTTATGTTGGAACTACGGCTTCTCAAAAGATTACTTAACCTTTTTTTGTCCAATCCAAATGAGGAAAAAAAATCTCAAAAGATCATTTTTCTCATGTGCACACTTGTGTTTTGTAGCATTTTGACTCGTGAGATTTTGTCCCATTCCTAGTGTATATATGATTTTGAAGATATAATAATAAATGGAGTATATACTTTTCATAATTTATGGGCTACACTATAAATAATTTGCACTTCTACATTGCAGTCACCAGAGGGCGCCCTAGTCCTTATTAAAAATCACAATTGAAACAGAAAAACTACACTCCAAAAACGAAATACAGCCTGCTTAAAAGTATTGTAGTCACCTTTTTTCATTTAAATATGTTATGTTACGAGGGCATTTTACACGAATATACTTAAAACAATGTGCTTTGGATCAATTTAAAATAATTAAATGTGAAAAGGTGACGTAATTTACAGTATTTAAATGTCCTATATTACAGAAAATTGACTCTTGTGAAATTTAAGACAAGTTTTAATGCTGTTACCTCATCAAAAACATACCTGGAGTTGTGTTTTGTCTTATTTATTTTATTTATTTATGTTTGATTAATGTTTTATTATTAGTCTGTCTATATCTCCAAAGCTCAAAATGCTCTGTTCCACTTTGTGATGTCATGAAGCGGTAGATTTCAAGTCAACGCTTTCAGTTCAGCAGAGGTTGGCGAGAATTCGAGGGCTGAAATGATCCAAATGATTCTAGTGAAGGTGTGCGGAGTTTAAAAACACAGTGGAGCACTTCCTGTACATCACAAGGTGGAACTGAGTGTTTTCAGTTTTTTTCTGACAGCTCAAATATGCAAGATTTGTGTGTTAAATGTGTGAATGAAACCCCAAAACACACAATTCCAAGGTATGTTTGTGATTAGGAAACAACATCATAAAATTATTTAGATACAGACTGAAAAAAAAAAACAACATAGTATAAAATTCTTCTTCTGTACTCAAGCAAAAGTATATTTCTATATTTTACTCATCGGGTAATACTTACTTCCCACCACCACAATATATTTTTCATTTCAGTGCTTTTCATTTTCCATTTTCATTATTTAGTTTTGCCCTCAACAGGAAACACATTATTGCTGATGCTAAACATGACAGAAATAGGAGTGACTGTTTAATATAGAATGTGTAGGCCTGTGTATTTAAAGGTGCACTGTGGAACTTTTCTGGGGGAGAGTCTTATCTTCATGGAGACCAAACGAGACCAAGTTACAAGTCAGATCTGTCAGAATGCCTGTTTTTCTAGGTATTTTTGAGCTATAAAACCACCTGTAATTGCATAAATGTAAGGTAGAGCTGTGAGATATCCATAGAAACAAGCAGGTGACGGACCCCTAGTCAAAAAGTTACACAGTGCAACTTTAATGTACCGTAAAATCCGGACTATTGAGTGCACCCAAATACACGCCGCATCAACTCAATTTTAACTAAATCTTAAAATTGTACATATACAGGCCGCACCTGAATCTAAGCCGCAGGTGTTCACGTCTTCAAGAAAGTTCGGGTCGTCTGCTTTTATCGCCTCTGAAAGATTTTGTCGTCTTTTTGCATTGAGTCAGTTCGTCACGCTGCCGTCGCCAAAATCTCACCATCGACTCATTGATGCCGAGCTCACGTGCGGCAGCTCTGTTTCCTTCTTCGACAGCCACATCAGTTGTCGTCAACTTAAAAGCTGCATCATCTGTATTTCCTTGTGTGTTTTCCATGAGAAGGGTGTGTGTACGAAGCTCAAAATAGCTGTTCAAACTAGAATCTTTCTCGGCGCATCACCCCCGTCTCTCCTCGCGCATGTTTCCTACAGAAAGAGTCGCTGTCCTGTCTGTATCATGTCAGTGTCTTGTAGGATTTTCGCAGATTTCAGACTCTCTTGGGGGCGGGGCTCATTCTGTAAATCAGGTATGAGTGGATGTTCAGCTACTGACGTTTGGGATGTTTCTTCTCATCATTTACGCATATGGGTAAGACGTACTAGCCAGGCTGGTGCCACCTAGTGCCTCCGCTCAATTTCATTTCTCTCCAGCGACTATGTCAGGAATCGGAATACACTAGACGGTTCGCAAAAACCCCGTGCGAGGTCGGGTACCAGCCAATCAGCAAAGAGACATACATTCTGTGTTGGCAACGATTCTCAAGATTCTCAAGATCGAGGATTTAAAGCCGGAATAAAGAGAATGTTTGGTGAATTTTATCAAGGGGAAAGACATTATTGCACTTCTTCCTACGAGATTTGGGAAAAGCTTAATATACCATTACATACATTACATTACATACGTCACGACCAAATAGCAGTGATTGGTTAAATGATAAAAAGTGCCCGCCTACCGTCGAGCGAACGAATGCTAATCCTGCAAGGTCAAACGGTTTGTACGAAGTGAAACTAAGTAAAACCGGCTGATGAATCAGGCTAAAGACGTACCCCCATCACTAATGTTTATTTAGCATCATAACTTATTTTATCACACGGCGATAAACTATTTGAGTGCACTGACAATATTGTGAGCTAGTGTCGCAACTTCAGACAGCGATGTTTTCTGCACTCAGGCTGCAAGTATCTGCTGTATTCCCAAACCATAGACCGTATATATGAATGGACAATGTGCCAAACAAAGAATCCCTCCATATATTCGCAGCAAGGTTCAAAATGTGAGAAAAAAGTAGCAGCTTATAGTCCGGAATTTACGGTAGTCATATTGCTCTAAGGTGCATAAGGAAGTGAACGGCTGGTTTAGGATCCTCTATGGGACATCACAGTGTTCTTATGCCAAAGAAAAGTCATTCTTTTAGCGTGTCCTTTCACTACAAAAGAAAATAAGAGATTGACTGTGCTACAGGATAATTACACGGGTTAAAATGACTTGGATTCTGAATGTTAATGCTGATTTGAGTAGTTAATTGATACGTTGCAGCTGATGTTATCAACAGGGGCGGCGCCAGAGGGGTGTTGACGGGGACTGGCCTCCCCAAAAATGACCAAAGCCCCCCATAGTTCCCCCAAAGATTTCTCCCACATTCTTTCCTCATTTATTTATTTGTATATATTTATTTATATATTATATTATTAGTATATATTTATTTATATATTTTATTATTATATTATTATTATTATTATTATTATTATTATTTATTAATTTATTTTATTTTGTTATTAAAGTAAAATTCTTCACGTAATGTACAGAAAAAAGGTACAGTTAAGGTTTAATAGTCTTCAGTGGTGGAAGACATACTCAATTTTGTTACTTCAATAAAAGTACAGATACTAAAGCAAAGATAAATTAAAAAATTACTCAAGTAAAAGTAAAAGTATCAAAGGGAAAAGGTTTTGTCCCACTTTCATTGGACATTTAGTTTTGACTAAAAATATTCAATGGCCACCACAGAGACCACACTAGAAAAATTTATGCTTATTAGTTTTTATAAATCTCTACAGAAGCGAACTGTATTTAAAATGGTTTAAAACTGCAAAGTAAACATGGTAGGGGGCGCGCACGTCCATAAAATACTATAAGTTAATATTATACTATACTATATAAGTTAAATGTGCATCCTCACTGAAGAAATACAGCACCCCCAAAGCTTTTCCAAACAAAAATGCCAGCTCTTTTCCTCATATTTTCAGGAGCTTCTGGAGTATTCATTGTCCTGTTGAGGTGTTTTCAACATTTTCAACAAAAAAGGTGAGAGTGAAAAACTGAAAAAAGGTTGGCTAATGCTTGTAGCTGTAATTCTATTTGAGAAGGACTTGTTTAAAAGTAAAAATCAGCTCTCTTGTTGTAGTTTCAGCTTTTTTTTAAACCATTCTTGTCAAAAATCAAACTCCTAAACAGGACCATGAACGTTCAAATTGATCACAGACTCCTGAAAATATGCTGTTTAAATCAATTTTGTATTTTTGTCTTTAATTTTCTAACAATCTTAAAACTTTTTGACAGTGCTTGCATACATGTAGAACACCCCCAGCGCGATGCAGCTGCAAAGTATCAGCACAGATCTACTCAAACCAAGCTTATTATTGTGAACTCCAGCCGCTGTAACTTCCATGGGTGTGCTTCTTGTACAGTGTGGTGCAGGTGACTTGCTGCTATAAAGGCTGCTGTTGGACCAGGCGTCTGTAGTGGGGCAGGACTTTGCTCTCGGGGAGGTACAGCGCCATCTCCAGGGCAACCAGGATAGTGAACTCGAACGAGATCAGTTCCCGGCGGCCGATCCGGAACCGCTCCTCCAGCTTCTGCGCACACAAAACAGACAATTTTAGACCGATGAGGTTCATTTGGTCTTCCGATAATTTATGTTATTAGGTTCTTTTCACAGACCAAGGGTTTGTTTTCATACCTGACAGTTTCGAGTCGACTGCTCACTAGTGGTCTTCCTCAGAGTGGTCACGTGATGTTGCTGTGACGTGTCCAGTCAGTTGATTTAAACAGGTTTTGGCTCCATCTTCCTACCGGTGGAGGCAGGACGACAGCGCCATCTGCAGTCGGACTTCCTCAGGACAGTATCCCAGGTGTGTGAGAGTAAAAAAGCCCCCTCGTCCCGGTTTATAGTCCCGTGGGCACGTTTTCGTATATTGATTGCCTCTTTAATCCAACGATGATGTTTGTTCTTCTCTCACACAGCTGGGATACTGTCCTGAGGAAGTCGGACTACAGATGGCGCTGTTGTCCTGCCTCCACCGGTAGGAAGACAGCACCAAAACCTGTTTAAATCAGCTGACCGGACACGTCACAGCAACATCACGTGACTCTGAGGAAGACCACTACTGAGCAGTCGAAACTGTCAGGTATGAAAACAAACTCTTGGTCTGAAAAAAGAACCTAATAACATAGACAATTTTAGAATTTTTTTAAATGGAAAGAAAAGAAATCTGGATATTTTATTATTAGAGGTTTAACAGTTCATGTATTCGTGCCGAACCTTTTCGATACGGGATGTTTTGTTCGATGTAAGGCTGTGCACACGTGAGTTTGCTACACAGAGGCTCAGCTCCTTAATATTCAGGAGGGAACTCATCCGTGGTTTGGACGGCAGAGTTTCCCACAGCGCTTTATAGTTAGGGCGGCCTCCTTCACTACGTCCCTCCGAACCACGTGAATCCTCGCAAAACTACGGTCGTCGTGTCCCGGTCCTCACTTTTGCATTTTGCCGGCACAGAATCTCTTGTTTACTGTTTACAAGGAATCATTTTTTTCATAATATTTCATAGATTTGTTGCTTATTTGAGAATATTTTATTTAACTTATTAAAATTACCAAGCAGCACTTGCACTTGCATTTATTTTATTTTCCCGTTTGTATAATGTTAAAACAAATTGTTGATTTAATAAACACACAAATAAACAACAAGCAAATGGTTTAGCATTTTGTTCCTGTACTGTACCGAAAATGAACCAAATCGTGACCTGAAAACCGAGGTACGTACCGAACCCTGACTAGAAAGAGGAGGTTTAGCTGGAACTACAACAAGTGACCCTGATTTATGATGTTAAACAAGTCTCTAACACATAAAATTACAGTCAGGCGCTGTTTAGGCACAAAATCTAACTCCTAAACAGGACCATGAACATCGCATTCATCACAAGTTCCTGAAAATGTGTTGTTTAAACCCATTTTTGTCTGTCTATGAGGAAAACAGCATTATAACAGATCGGAAAATAGAGTAATATGGGCCTTTTATAAATGTTAAGTATTTTTTGACGTGCACAGGTGACACGTTGGGACATACAGAACTCCCACTTACATCTATGAGGTGCTTGACTTCCTGTTTTTTGAGGTCGCTGCTGATCTTAGCGGCCAGTAGGAGGCAGGCCGCTGACACCAGTTTCCTGTTAAATAAAATGTACAAAGAAGAGATACTGTTAGTGTGTACATGTTTACGTAGGATTAGTGGACAAGTACAGTTACGTAAGGATTAAACAGTGATCCATTTGAGAGAAATCATGAGAATTAGAAGCACAATGGACTACTACAGTACTATTACTATACTTTTTTCCATCATACAATAAAATAAAACAATAAAAACATTTTCTCATATATATAAATACTATATTGACTTATTTAAAGGTGCACTACGTAACTTTTCTGGAGGAGGGTCATGTGGCGACACGCTCGTCTCTGCAGAGATGTTATTTTGATGACATTTGTTGACAGTTGTTGTACAGTTGTAGGGAGTATTATCTTTTACATAAAGCTGAGTTGTTGTACAGTTGTAGGGAGTATTATCTGTTACATAAGGGTGAGTTGTTGTACGGTTGTAGGGAGTATTATCTGTTACATAAAGCTGAGTTGTTGTACAGTTGTAGGGAGTATTAGCTGTTACATAAGGGTGAGTTGTTGTACAGTTGTAGGGAGTATTATCTGTTACATAAAGCTGAGTTGTTGTACAGTTGTAGGGAGTATTATCTGTTACATAAAGGTGAGTTGTTGTACAGTTGTAGGGAGTATTATCTGTTACATAAAGTGAGTTGTTGTACAGTTGTAGGGAGTATTATCTGTTACATAAGGGTGAGTTGTAAGGAGTATTATTTGGTACACAAAGATGAATTGTTGTACAGTTGTAGGGAGTATTATCTGTTACATAATGGTGAATTGTTGCACTGTTGTAGGGAGTATTATCTGTTACATAAGGGTGAGTTGTAGAGTTGTAAGGAGTATTATCTGATACATAAAGATGAATTGTTGTACAGTTGTAGGGAGTATTATCTGTTACATAATGGTGAGGTGTTGTACAGTTGTAGGGAGTATTATCTGTTACATAATGGTGAGGTGTTGTACAGTTGTAGGGAGTATTATCTGTTACATAAGAGTGAGTTGTAGAGTTGTAAGGAGTATTATTTGGTACATAAAGATGCATTTTTGTGCAGTTGTAGGGAGTATTATCTGTTACATAAGGGTGAGTTTTTGTCAAATCACTGGAGTAATCAATAATATATTATACATGAGGATGACCTGTTTTGTTTGTTGAGTCGACCTTGAAGCACCAGTTTCTCGAAGTAGACGAAGGCCATAGCGATGGTGACCGGCTGCAGCCCACAGTCTTCTCCAAAAGCTCGCATCTCCCGCTTCAAACTAAACACAACACAACGCACGCAAACTTTACAATCACAAGTTTACAATCACATTTCAGATCTGGTCATTATGAGACTTTTGCTTTGTCTAGTTTTGTGTTTTGTTTTGGTAAAGGTGTAACTTTTCTCGTGGAGGGTCCGTCAAATGCTTTTCTTCATATGTTACTGCTTTGTCTGGAATGTGTATTAAAGCTTTTTATCATCATGGAGACTAAACCAGGCCAAGTTACAGGTCAGATCTGTGGAGAGGCGACCCTGCTCAGTCAGAATGCCTGATTTTATAGGTATTTTTGAGCTATAAAACCACCTGTAATTGAATAAATGTAAAGTAGAGCAGTTTAAAGTCATACTGTGAAACATTCCAGGCAGAGCAGTGACAATATCCGTGGAAACAAGCAGGTGAAGGACCCCCAACCAAAAAAAGTTACATACACCTTTAATCTGCTTTAACAGTTTTGATGGATTTTGATTAAATGACACATACACACATCCTTTCAGATTTGGCTGTTTACGTGGTATTGCAATACTCCAAAAATCAGATAATATAGATCAGACGTGTCAAACTCAGGCCCAGGGATCAAATTTGGCCCGTGATATAATTATATTTGGCCTGCAAGATCATATCAAATATATATTAGAGTTGGCCCGCTGGCTACAGACACGCTATAGAGACAATATTTATTTAAAATGTTGTTATTACCTCCGCCAAGGAGGTTATGTTTTTGCCAGCGTTTGTCTGTTTGTTTGTTGGTTTGTTTGTCTGTTAGCAACATAACTCAAAAAGTTATGGACCGATTTTGATGAAATTTCCAGGATTTCTTGGAAATGTGAAAAGGAAGAAGTGATTTCATTTTGGGGGTGATCCGGAAGAAATCCTGGATTCTGGATCACTTTGAAATTTTAGTTAACATTGTGGTAAATGGGGCCAAAAATTTTGTTTCTCAATATCTCGGTTAATTATTGACCAAACCCCATGAAATTTGACTCATGGACAATGGGATCCTCTTTCATATTCCAAATTGAAAGATACGAGACAAATATTTATGGAAAACACAATTAATATGAGGGGGACTGTAGTCCTTGGCGGAGGTCTGCGCTCTCTGAGTGCTTTTCTAGTTATTTTATATTATGCTTGTTCTGGATTCAATGTTTAAGCAAAACTATTATGAAACAGTTTAATAAGAAATTGTTTAACATGCAGAAATCATGCAGATGCTGTTGAAATTTTTCAATAAATATTTAGTTTGGCCCACGTCTAAGTCCCAGTTTTTAATTTTGGCCTTTGTGAATTTGAGTTTGACACCCCTGATATAGATAATAAAGATACCTTATTGTATATCTATAATACTAATACTAATAATAGTAATAATAATAATAATAATACTCATGCCTTTATATAAGAGGCCTGTTACCTTCGTATTTTGCTGAGAGTGAGTTTGATGTGAGGGAACTTCTCCTTAAAAGTCTCATTCATGTCTCTCTTCAGATCGGACGGCTTCACGTAGTCTATCACCGTCGTCTGCAAAAAACAAACACACAAATACTGAGATTACTACAACATTACTACTACTTTACTTCATCCCAGATACACTGACAGTATCAGTAAAAAGAAAAAAAAAAAACATGTTCTGTTCTACTAGCTTTGCATAATATAGGATCTTTAATTAAATATTTCTTAATTAATTAGGAGAATTATAAATGTATTTTCTGTTCAGGCAAAATGTTGCTATTCTCTGGAAATCGGTTTTAAATTATTTTAGTATTTTATAGAGAAAGCGTAACTCCATAATTTAATCCTCTACAAACATGTTCTGAAAAGCACTAGGATGTTTGTATGAATTTAAAAGAAATATGAATGCTCCTGGACAGGTTTAAAGGTACACTGTGTAACTTTTTTTGCTTTGGGGTCCATCAGCTGCTTGTTTCTATAGATACGTATGTCATTGCTCTGCCTGGAATGTTCCGCAGTGTGACGTTAAACAGCTTTACTTTACATTTAGTCAATTATAGGTGGTTTTATAGCTCAAAATACCAAGAAAAACAGGCTTTCTGACTGTGAACAGGGTCGCCTCTCCACAGATCTGACCTGTGACTTTGCCTGGTTTGGTCTCTTTGAAGATAGAAAGGTTTAATGCCATACTGTGAAACATTCTGGTGAGGTAAAAAAAAAAAACTCTACAGAATAAAGCATTTAAGCCACAATGAACCTTTAAAAATTGAACTGGGAACTGAAACCTAATCGCAAAACATGAATTGCAATTCACAATTTTTCTCGGAAATTGCACAGCCCTATTATACAAAATTAAAAAGAGATTTGCACTGCAGTTCTCCCAAATTTTTATTTTAATGACACCATAATGTGACGTTCAGGTCAGAGTGAACACCTGTTTGTACTACAGATTTCATTCAACTGTAATGATTTTTTGTAACACTGGGACTCATCGGGAACCAGCTGGAAAGCTGCGTTGGTTGGAAAGTCCCCCTGAACTGTACCCTTTATGAAACCAAGTTAGTTAATCTATATACATGAAAAAGTTACAATATATCTCAACATACATACATACAAAAAAACATGCAAAAATTATGTGGTCTCAACTGTGGTCTCAAGTGATTCTGAATGATTTCTGACCTAATTCTGTAGCTTTCTAAGTTTCTTGTGTTGCACTGCTTACAAATTATGTTCATGGCAAGCAGGTAAGGAAATAATTACCGTATTTTCCGGACTATAAGTTGCTCCGGAGTATAAATCGCACCAGCCAAAAAATGCGCAATGAAGAAGAAAAAAACATATACCAGTCACACCGGACTATAAGTCGCACTTTTTGGGGAAATGTATTTTGTAAAATCAGAGACATTTCATCTCAAAAGGCAAGTTATAGTAATAACAACAGAATACGTTAACTGTTAATATGTAAATGTAACATATTATCAGTTATTCAGATAACTATAGTATAAACAACAGAACATAAGTTTACCAAACTCACAATCTCACTCTAAATCACAAAATTACAGGAGTAATAGGAGCAGCAGATACTGACACACAAGCCTAGAGCCTCTTATTGTTGACAGTCTGAAAATTTTAATACATAAGTTCCACCGGAGTATAAGTCGCACGACCACCCAAACCATGAAAAAAAGTGCAACTTATAGTAAGAAAAATACAGTAATATTTCTTCCCAAATCAACAGTTACAGATGCTATAGGACATGGGAAACAAGAAAAAATATTTAAAATACGATTTCATAGTAAACTTCTGCGAGCAAATGAGGATTATATTGATATTACAGACTGAAAAAATGTGTGCCGCTTCAGGAAGATCAGTAAAATACATAAACAAGGCCCGACATTTGGTCTCGCTACATTCACATTTCATTTTATTCTGATATAGAAGCTGATTTTCTAGCTCAGTACATCACAGTGACGCGGCCGACTCTCCTGGGCACAGCAGTTACCCGAGTGCCACCCAAGAGAAAGGAGCACCCAGAGCTGGGACTTTCAAACCAGGGGGACATTCGAGCCGGAATTCAACTGATCACACGGTGGGTCAGGAGACTATACCTGGGCCTATTTATAATAAAACAGATGTGAAACTTAACCGTTATGTCTGAAGAAGGGCTTGACCCGAAACGTCACATTGTTGGTCATTAAAATAAAAATGTGGGAGCAGCTTGGATGTGTTTCCTTTTTTTGTACAATTTTTTGTCTTTGGACTCAACAACTTTACAGCTTCACAACTTTAATTGGATGTGCATGTTTCTATCTGCCAGTATTCAGCCCTGTTCTACAGACAGTGAAAGCAAAATACCGATCTAGGCTGATGTTAGTGGCAAAAAGAAAGGATTAAAAGGTGCTCTGAGAATGTAAATAGTCTTCGGATTATCTTAAACATTTCATAAGTAAATATTATTGTCTGTGTATCTTCACAGACACTCGGCTTAAAATCGTTTCATGTTAATATTTGAACAACTTCAGATAACAGACAGAGCACCCACTGAAGCAAACTAAAGCCTTGAATTCCTTTTAGAGAGATTTTTTAATTTATATATTATGACTTTTTAAATTTGTTTACACTTTTTTTTTCTTTGGCATTACACATTTGTAGTTTAAAAGTCCTATATTATGCAGAATTGACTCTTATGAGCTTTAAGCCGTGTAAGAATGCTGTTTCCTCCTCAAAAAAACACCTGGGGTTGTGTTTTGTTTCATTCACACGTTTGAGTAACTCTTTATTATTCGTCTGTCTGCATGTGCAAAGCTCAAAATGCTCTTTTTTTACCTCGTGATGCCATGAAGTTGTAGTTGAAGTTAACAGCTCCTTTTACCTTTGCTTAAGTAAGTACAGAGCAGAGTGGAAATTCCAGGACTGAAATCATCCTAATGATTCTAATAAAGCTGAATGGAGTTTAAAAACACAGTGGAGCACTTCCTGTATTACCACATCGTGACATCACAAGGTGGAACAGAGTGTTTTCTGTTTGAGAGAAGAACTCCACCTAAATATGCAGGGTTTGGAAGTTAAACGTGTGAATGAAAAAAGGTAAACGGTAGCTGTTAACTTCAAATGTATCTCTAATAAAGGTGCACTGTGTAACTTTTCTGGCAGGAGTTCGCTAGTTGCTTGTCTCCATGGAGATGTTAATGCTTTCACGGATAAAAATGCTTTCAGAATTAGATGAAGATAGTAAAATATCTGTACTGGACTAAGAGAAATTTGACATTTCCTGGTCCTTAGTGAATAAACCCAGTGGATGGGCTGTGTGACTCTTACCATATAGGAAGCAAATATAAGCACTCTTTTATGTTTCCCACAAGGCCACTGGGGGTCGCTGAGGAGGTTTGGGTCATAGTCAGAGGAATCATCCACACCTGAAAGACAGATACACACACAGGAATATGCTTTGAGTGCCTTGAAGGTGGAAAAGCAGAAATAATCACCATGAAGTCCAATCTAGGCCTATAAAAACAGCACAATACTCCAAATTCAAACTGGATTTTGCTTAAGTATACTCGATACACACAGACTTGAACAAAACAATAACCCCTTAATGCCTGAATTTATATAGATTTACATAAAAAATGTTTTGTTTGTGTTTTTGCCTGGTAAATTTATTTGAAACTCTTAATTTGACTATAGCAAAAAAATAAATAAATAGAAATTTAGGTATGTTGCAAATTTGCGACAACTAGAAACAATTGCTTGCCAAAGTTTCAATGCAGCCACGCTCTCCGCTTATATCTTGATCCAAATGGTTTGTTACATATTTGTGACAGTCAGCGTTAAGCGGATAAGAAATTTAGATAATACATCATTTTTTTAAAGGTCCTATATTACGTAAAATTGACTCTTGTGAGCTTTAAGTCATGTTAGAATATTGTTACCTCTTCAAAAACAGACTTGGAGTTGTGTTTTGTTTCATTCACACATGTTTGAGTAATGCTTTAATATTAGTCTGTCTACATCTCCAAAGCTCAAAATGCTTTGTTCCACCTTGTGATGTCATGTAGTGGTAGTTTTCAAGTTAAGCACAGCCTTTTCCTTTCGTTCAGTAGAGATTGGCAATTCCAGGGCTGAAATGATCTAAATGATTCTAGTGACGGCAGAGGTGGCGCTACCATTAGCCAAAAGTAGGCGGCTGCTTAGGGCCCCCAAACCTGGAGGGGCCCCCAACCAATTCCCCTCAGTGCTGCAGATGGACGAGGCCTCAGAGCAATTAGATTTTCTCTCAATATGGCATTAAATGAGAGTATGTTAATAGGTTCTTTTTACAGACCAAGAGTTTGTTTTCATACCTGACAGTTTCGACTGCTCCCTGCGGTCTTCCTCAGAGTCACGTGATGTTACTGTGACGTGTCCGGTCAGCTGATTTATACAGGTTTTGGCGCTGTTTTCCTTCCGATGGAAGCAGGATGACCGGGATGAGGAGGCTTTTTTACTCTCACACACCTGGGATACTGTCGTGAGGAAGTTGGACTGCAGATGGCGCTGTCGTCCTACCTCCACCGGTAGGAAAACAGCGCCAAAACCTGTTTAAATCAGCTGAGCGGGTCACAGCAACATCACGTGACTCTGAGGAAGACCGCAAGTGAGCAGTCAAAGCTGTCAGATATGAAAACAAACCCTTGGTCTGAAAAAAGAACCTAATAACATTAACAATTTTAGAATTTTTTTAATGGAAAGAAAAGAAATCTGGATATTTTATTAAGGGTGTAACAGTACATGTATTCGTGCCGAACCGTTTCGATACCTGGATGGTCGATTCGGTGTAAGGCTGTGCACGAGTGAGTTTGCACAATTTGTGAGTATTTACAACATAACCCACACAAACATGTTATTTTATAACATAAAATATCGGAAGACCAAATGACTCTCATTAGATTAAATGAGAGTAGTTTACTTTTAAACAAAAATCATAAGAAAAATAATAATCATCGAAAATGTAATTGTGCTAGCAAAAAAAAAAAACTACTTCCAGTTCTGGTTATTTAGTGGGTGACCTAACTAATAAGTTTCCAAACTACCATAATTCAGATAAATAGAGATGTGCATGTCTCAAGAACAATGGGGAAAAACAGACAATAAATATATTAAATAAAACAAAACAAAAAAACGGTGCATTATAGTAAGGGCCCCAAACTCAAGCTCGCATAGGGCCCCCAAATTGCTAACTGCACCATTGAGTGAAGGCGTGTGGAGTTTAAAAATACAGTGGAGCCTTTCCTGTGTTACCACATGACATCACAAGGTGGAAGAGAGTGTTTTCTGTTTGATAGAAGAACTCAGTCTATAAACTTGTGTGAACGAAACAAAACACCACTCCAGGTCTATTTGTGATGAGGAAACAACATTATGACATAGAACAATGAAATTAGGCCTTTTAAATATTACCATTTGGTCTTATACTGGTTCAGACCAAGCGATTCCACGATTACTTGGAAGTGTGAATCATACTTTGGAACATTCTTCATGAAAATAGCTCAGTATCCATGAAAAAAATCAGGAGTAGGCCCTGCTCTAAGCCAAGTAAGAGTCAAGTTTATGGAGATGCAAGCCCGCTCAGAGTAAGTTTGAGTGCAGTAAACACAAATAAAATTAAATTTTGGTTGAGAGATTTTAGCCTAGTCCATTTCTGGCTAAAATGTAATCTGATTTTAACATTTTTGCAATTATTTTTATGGTGAATCATCGCATCGATTCTGTCTCAAACCACAAGAGGACAGCGTCGTAAAGAACTTCTAAAAGACACACAGCAAAACAAACAACAAGCTGCAGCTCATTTCTCTTTCTTCGCTTCTTTCTCCTTGATTCCTCTCCTCGATTCTGCAGGAAATGGGTTAGGAAGTCCCGCCCACAAAGGAGACACGAGGATCTAAACTCCTCACTGAGACCAATAACGCTTGATTATTTTATCTGACGTCTCCTGAAACCTTCCTCATGTTTACTCCTTCCTTTCGTGGTTTTCTTTGGCCACCACTTATGACCACACGTGATTAACAGCTGAAAAATGAAAGATCGAGGAGACGAATCAAGGAGAAGGAAGCGAGGAAAGAGAAATGAGACGCGGCCTAAGCGATGACCTAACATTACAAGGATCCGAGCTGGCTGCGCACGCTTGAAGATTGCAGTGTTTTTTATCAGTGACGCACACAGAGAAAGCCTGAAATACCTCACAGCTGCCCCTGTTAATGAGGGCGTAAAATAAAAGCAGTTTTAAAGGTCGTGAAATAAGAAGATAACAGCTGCGACAACAAATGACTGTGTTGTATTTTGTTCACACATTTAGCTGAAGTCAGTGTGAGATCTGAAGTGTGAAATTGCAGGTGTTTTGGTCTGGTTCGTGGAGAATATCTTTGCGATTCTTTCAATTCAAAGGCGCATTGTGTAACTTTTCTGGTTGGCGGTCCGTCACCTGCTTCTTTCTATGGATATGTCAGAAAATCATTTGACGGAAATGTTACACAATGCCCCTTTAAGAATAAAACAGTTCAAATAAAGCACCCTTAGCCTCAGCAGATAGTGATCGGTGAGTTGGCATTACCCAGGTCCAGTCCGACGGTGCTGTTGATGCGACTGGGTGGGCGACTGGGTGGGCGACTGGGTGGGCGACTAGGCGGATGACTGGGTGGGTGGGTGCGGCTATGGGCGATGCTGTGGGCGCTTCTGGACACGGGGAGCTGGAGGGTCTGGCTCAGCTCCAGGGTGGAGGAGGGTTTCTGCCGCACCAGGGCATTAGTGGGGTACAGGAACTGGGCGTACGATACGGACTGTAAAGAGAAAACAGATGGAGAGAGTGTGAAAAAGACTGAACCAATAGGTGAATACAGTTTGTAAGTAAGAAAGAAACAGGCTTTCTCTCTGAAGTGAGATATTTCATTTGCAGCCGTGGTATAAGCACATTATACAACAAGGAACCGTCCGCTGTGCAGTTTTAACACACGCCGAGGAGAGGTGTTCCTCCGTGAAGTGCATTAAAACTACAAAATGCACGGCTCCAAGTTGTTTAATGCGCTTGTACCACAGCTACAAACTGAAAGATCTCACTGGTGAATCTGAAAAGCCTGTTCACTGTCTGTAAATGTATCAAATATCAGTTATTTCAGTCTTTTAAATGAAGTTAGTCCCTCCATTCTAGGATGTGTTTTCCCGTTGCTAGGGTGATGTCATGGCAATATCAGCAGAGCAGTGATACAGAGCAGTGATTTGGCTGTTACCGGAACAACTTGTGTGTTATGCAGTATTAACCATGGATCTATAATAGAAACTAGATAAGGCATTCCTCCTCTGGTCCTGACTCGAGACTGACTAGTGGCCGTTCCAGGTACTGCAGCTCCCGGGAGCTTGGGCCCAGAAAGAATTCTCCCATAGAAGTGCAATGTATTTTTTGGGAATTCGAACTGCCCGTGTTCATTGAGAGCTTTCACAAATGTCAGATTTTGTAGGGATTCTTTTCTATTTTCACAACATAACCTTTCTACAAATTTTTAAATCCTCAAAGCGCCTAAAAGTTAGCTTCATAAGACTTAGCCTAGCCCCATTCTGAGTTTGCTGTAGCTCCACTCTAGTAGCTCTCGCTCTAATTAGTCCAAACGCTCCACGCCGTTCATGTTATAGACGTCACACACGTGTGACAAGTTCGCCTGTATTGAGGAAGTAAATGCGGAAGAGAAAATTGGTTTTGGGCCCATGCTAGGGTGATCATTAGGGATGGGCATTCGATGAAATTTTCTTAATCGATCGTCGGAAGAATTAACGATCGATTATCGATTAATCATTAATGTTTTTATATTAAAATGATCATCGTTATTATTACTATCTGCACTACTAATCTGCATAAATAAATTCAACTTTACGACATATAAACCGTAACGACTCTAGAGCCACATCAATTCGTTTGACATTATAATGTGTTTAATTCAGTTTTGCTCAACTCTCACAGAAACTAAACTTAAAACCGCATCGCTAATTTGCATAAACTCAGCGAAGATAAAACTACAAATCTTGTGCGCTGATGCGGTCAATTTCTGTCAGATTAAAAGACATGATTCAGGTGAATACAGGTTAGTGTGACCAGATTTGCGTTTGTCAAAACCAGGACACCGTACGGGAGGTGGGGACTCGTCATCGACATTGCGCGATTCTCACCTGGTAAAGCTTTTTTTCACTGGACACCGAAACATATGTTCCTGCTTTGTACACTGTGCACATGGACTCACACTTGTCCCGAACGCAACGGAAAGTGTGGAATTTCTTGTACAAATCATCCTTAAATACGCATTTGTGCTTCGGCACGTTGCAGGCAGACCCACTGTTTGTGTCTCGCTCCTTCTGAGTGCAGAGACACATGTACAGACCTGTTTGGTCACCCTACGCTACGCACAGCAACCTACATTCGGTTTGTCGATTAAAATGAACGTAATCGATGAAATTCTTAATGATCAATTATCGATTAATCGATTAATCATGCCCATCCCTAGTGACCATATTTCCATTTGTGAAAACCCGGACACCTTACCTCCACATTGAGCTACTCTCACCTCATGAACTGTGCACATGGCCTCCCACTTTTCCCGACCGGGATGGAAAATGGAAAATTTCTTGTACAAGTCATCGTTAAATGCACATTTGAGCTTCGGCATGTTGCAGACTGACTGACTGTTTGTGTCTGCTCGCTTCTTCTGAGTGCGCAGAGAGCTACGAGAGCCACTCAATTTAATGGCCCCAATGAAAGATAATGAAAACCCGGACATTTACATCACTTAAAAAAAAAATTTAATTCTCACTGTCCATAGTATAAATATATAAATAGTATAAATGTATAATGTATAGTTTAAATGTTGTGAGAAAACGTGATAACCCAATGTCCTGTCAATCATTAATCATCAAAGAATTGCTGCTTTAATTATTTGCTGATTTTGGTTAACATTTAGATTTTTTTTTTTTTAACTGTGCAGCGTCACAGCAGCAGTATTATAATGTTCAAAGTTTCTACATTTTCACAGTTATTATATTCACACAGTCAGTTGAGTAAAGGGTTCTGCTTAAGGACACATCAGTACGAAATAAGAAGCAATTTTCAGGTTTTATCAGATAGACTCTTTATCACTTAAAATGTCGATTTGCCCTTCAGCAAAACACTTCAATGCACCAGGGATGTCTAAAATATGGCGATTATGTTCCACACACAGTAAAATATCGATGAACCCTGGGAAAAAGAGACTTACCCTGCCGTACGTGTCCAGGTGGAAGCCCTCCAGCCCGGGCAGCATCTCCAGGGTCGAGATGTTCCCAGACGAGTGTCTCCTCCGTGGGTGGTTCAGGGTGGGGTCGCTACAGAGGAAGAGGAAGAACAATTTAAACACATTATGTAACTCAGAGCAATTTGAGCCACTCAGAGAAGAAGAGTCATTAGTCAGCACATAGGCAAGGCAAGGCAAGTTTATTTGTATAGCACAATTCGTACACAAAGTAATTCAAAGTGCTTTACAGAATAAGAAATACATTAAAATCATAATAAAAACAAATCAAAATATAAATAATCATGAAGATTAAAATTTTAAAAAAGAGAGACATAAATTGGAGAGAAGAGTGTGGAATGAAAACCTTTCAGTTATATGCACAGTCAAACAGAAATGTTTTGAGCCTGGATTTAAACAGCGTCACAGAAGAGTCTGTCTCACATGTTCAGGAAGACTGTTCCAGGTTTTAGCTGCATGAACCTGAAACGCTGACTCCCCTTGTTTAGTCCTGACTCTGGGCACCAGCAGGAGGCCGGTCCCTGAGGTCCTCAGAGTGCGAGATGGTTCATATGACACTAACATGTCACAGATGTACTTTGGTGCTCGGCCATGGAGAGACTTGTACACAAGCAGAGCTGCTTTAAAGTCTATTCTCTGAGGCACAGGAAGCCAGTGCAGAGACCTGAGCACAGGACTTATGTGCTCGTACTTCCTAGTTCGAGTCAGGACCCGAGCTGCAGCGTTCTGGATGTTCTGCAGTTGTCTCACAGCTCGTTTGGAGAGACCAGTGAGCAGAACCATTACAGTATCTAACCTACTGGAGACAAATGCATGGATAAGTTTCTCCAAGTCTGATTTAGACAGTAAACCTTTGATTTTTGCTATGTTTTTTAGATGGTAAAAGGCTGCAGATGTTATTGATTTGATGTGGCTGTTAAAGTTCAAGTCTGAGTCCATTATTACCCCTAGATTTCTTGCCTGATTTGAAGGTTTTAGAGAGAGAGACTGGAGGTGACTGCTGACACTGTCCCTTTGTTTCTGTGGACCAAACACTATGACTTCAGTCTTGTCAGAGTTTAGCTGGAGAAAGTTGTTTTGCGTCCACACACTGATCTGTTGGATGCAGTGACAAAGTGAGTCCACTGGTCCATAGTCTCCTGCTGCCAGAGAGACGTAGATCTGAGTATCATCTGCATAATTGTGGTAGGACACGTTATTGCTGCTTATTAACTGGCCTAATGGCAGCATGTAGAGATTGAACAACAGGGGGCCCAGGATTGACCCCTGAGGCACCCCACAGGTCAGGGCCATGTGATCTGAGACACAGTTTCCAATTTCAACAAAATACTTCCTGTCTTCTAGATAGGACTTGAACCAGTTTAGTACAGTACCAGAGATGCCCACCCAGTCCTCTAGTCTCTGTAAGAGGATCCCATGATCGACAGTGTCAAAAGCAGCACTCAGATCTAACAGGATCAAGACTGAGACTTTGCCTGCATCAGTGTTCAGGCGGATGTCATTTGTCACCTTGATAAGAGCAGTCTCAGTGCTGTGGTGGGCTCTAAAACCTGACTGGAAAACATCAAAGAAGTTGTTCATTTGGAGAAAGTTCGTAAGCTGTTGGTAAACAGCTTTTTCAAGGACTTTGCCAATTATGTGTTATCTGTAAAGGGCTTTTTAAAAACACATAAAGCAAACAAAACAGGCACAAGACAGCCCAAATGAACGATGCCGTAGTCTCTGTAAAGGGCTTTTTAAAAACACATAATTGGCATAAACTGATTCCCTACACAGGTGCAAAGGGAATCATTTAGGGAATAATTCAAGATGTGTCTGAATGTCCACCCTCGCCCCTAACCCCTCATTCACTACATAGGCCCGCACTCTTTAGCGCCCTCTACAGTGCACTCATTCACAGTGTTTCGGACGCACAGCTCACTACATTCAAGTAACATGACTCTGGTGTCTGGGTGAAAATGTTCGCGAAACACTGATAAATCTTAATTTCTATCACAAATAATGATGAGATCAAACTGGCACAAAAGTGTTTATGGACTAATAATAATCTTACAAGTTTTTGTGTAAATGGATTTCACGCAAACGACCTGGTTTATTTGCTTTTTGTCTGAGATGTGGAAATTATCAATCTTTTAACAGCTAAATTGTTAAGAGCTAAGATAAAGGAGTGTTTTATTCAGCATCAGGACCAACAGTGAGATCAACCAGCGCTCCTAATCTGCTAACGCCCATCGCTGAATGTCAATGTTTTCCCAACTCTCACAATGCATTGTCATCTATATTGTAAAGCACTTTCAATTACTTTGTGTAGGAATTATAGTATACAAATAAACTTGTCTTGTCTATTTGCCGCTCCAGTGACCAATGATTCCCAATACTTTTCAAGGTGCAGTGTGGGAAATTTTGAGCTCACTACTTTTTTCACGAACTGAACATTCAGACACACCTAAAAATGACTAGTGTGGATATTTGGACAGAACCATAGTTATGTTAGTAGCTTTTGATTTACATTTTGTGTCAAATTGTAAGAAGAAATACAGTGGAATGTATTGAAGTAAAACTACAAGAGTATTTCTGGGTTTCAGATGGCGTCACGTTGACGTCACAAAAAGCAGATGAGGGTCAGGAAGTAAAGACTGTTGACTCAGTGCCAAAATTCTAAATTCTGTGCCGTCTATGGTTGTTGTCAGGAGAAAGATAAATGTTTTATTTGTGTACCAAAAATGGTATGTCACAAGGGAATTAGTTTAAACAAACTTACAGAAAAAAGATGACAAAAGTGGATCAACAGTCTAAAAACAGAAGGCACGGAAACGGACAATGCTAGAGATTGCAGTGACCACTTTGTAACCGGTAAGGATTGTGTAATTTATAAATGAATATTAAGATTATTTTTGGACGGTTATTTAGAAAGCATCGTACTTGACAGTTTTGCATTATAACTTGTCACACAAAAGTTTTATGTGGTGCTAATTTTCTTAGCCTACTGTGGTAATTTGTCATTTTATACCTTTTTATACCCAACCAGAATTGTTGTACTCCTCCAGGCTTTTAAAGGCTTTCATTTGGCTCACAGTGAAATATGAGGTATGCAGCACCAGATACTTTATTACATCCATCACCTTAACATCAGGCAAATTCTCCAAACTGTATAAAAAGTCCGACTTCTCCATATCATACGGGTCATAACCATATATAGACTTATTTTTTCGCGATAGTGGGTCTGTGCCGACACAAACTTTTAGCGTACTCGGTGTCGCCCACTGTGCTGTGTTTTGAAACGGAGCAAAACACTTCCTGCCCCCCATTTGAATTTCGAGCGTCATCAGGGCCACGTGAGTGAAACCCGGCAATAATGTGTCTCTGGATGTTTGGTGAAAGGTTCTGCAGGTGTGGTGGACTTACCTGAGATAGAAGCTCTCTCCGTAGGGCATGATGGAAAAGGCAGCACACAGGGACCTCTTGGCACAGATCAGGACTATCCTGCAACAAAAACACAACACAACACAACAGTGGTTAGACTCACACTGGTGTTTAAAGCCAGACACAGCCCAGGTACTAAATGAACAGCCTGTAATAAGACAGAAACGGCTACTTTCCAAACTCCAAAATGCCCATTACAGAAGGGTGGAAGCAGTTTACTGAAACAATCGCGGTAAGAAAAAAAAAAAAATTACTATATTTAGGCCTGTCACAATAACAATTTTTGGAGTGTGATATATAGCATTGCAGAAGCAAGTAATAGAATAGACGATAAATTATAATATTGAAACCAAAACATAAAGCAGAATTATCCTCAAAAAAGTATCCTTGAAAAAAAGGCAAGCTGAAATAAATTAATAGCAAAACACAACAGTTAAAGGTGCATTGTGTAACTTTTCTGGGGGAGGATCCATCACCTACTCATTTCTATGGAAATGGCATTGCTTTGCTGGAATGTTCCACAATATGACATTAAACAGCTTTACCTTAAATTTCAATTACAGGTGGTTTTATAGCTCAAAAATACCTTGCAAATCATGCATTCTGACTTAGAGTGGGGTTGCTTCTCCACAGATCTGACCTGTAACTTGGTCTAGTTTCGTCTCCATGAAGATAGAAAGGTGAGAAACTGTGAAACTTTGCAGAAACAGAAAAGAATTTGACAGCCCCTTCACCAGAAACGTTACACAAAGCGCCTTTAACATGTTAAAAGTTAAGTAAATATAGTTAGTAAGTATATAAAACCTTTAAAATAAACTCCATTATTCAGGCCTAACCGTCGCTGCTGTTGTGAGTGTTTGACAGTAGGAGCTCCTGTGGGGGTGTGTGGATTGCACCAGGCTCACGTCTCTGTGGACACTCTGTTTACAGTCATTAACAGTTAAAGAGGAGGGAGAGTGGACACAGGCCGCTGACGCAAAAGTGCACCAGGCTCAAAAACATCGATGGGCACTAAGCTGCTTATATTTTCTCTACAAACACAGAAGAGCTTTAATTAATGACTTTGTTTATACACAAAAAGAGAAGAAAGAAAAAAACATACATAAACACACATACAGTGTTGGGGAGTAACAGATTACATGTACCGGAGTTATGTAATCAGAGTACAAATTATGAGTAACTGTATTCAGTTACAGTTACTGTTTCAATGAGTGGGAATTGGATTACAGTTACTTTGTTGAAATAAATGGATTACACAGAGGTATTTTCCTGTTTTCACATTTTGGGCTATATCCCTGTTTTTTTCTTTTTTTTTCTTTTTTTTTTTGGATAATTTCATTCATTGCCAGAATCTAAACCATGACTAAACCAGGTCTAAACCAGGTCTAAACCACGACTAAACCAGGTCTAAACCACGACTAAACCAGGTCTAAACCAGGTCTAAACCACGACTAAACCAGGTCTAAACCACGACTAAACCAGGTCTAAACCACGACTAAACCAGGTCTAAACCAGGTCTAAACCAGGTCTAAACCAGGTCTAAACCACGACTAAACCAGGTCTAAACCAGGACTAAACCAGGTCTAAACCAGACTAAACCAGGTCTAAACCAGGTCTAAACCACGACTAAACCAGGTCTAAACCAGGTCTAAACCAGGTCTAAACCATGACTAAACCATGTCTAAACCAGGTCTAAACCAGGTCTAAACCAGGTCTAAACCAGGTCTAAACCAGGTCTAAACCATGACTAAACCAGGTCTAAACCAGGACTAAACCAGGTCTAAACCAGGTCTAAAACCGGATTAAAACAGGATTTAACAGGTCTAAACCATGCTGCGTGGACGTGTCTCCTCCTCTTCTATCAATAATATATTTAATTTGGTTCAGTAAAGTCTGGGCTTTTTTATTTTCTTTTATCTTAGGTTATGATTTCCTCGTCTTTGCTTCTCTACAGCAAATCAAGTAATCCAAAGTATTCAGATTACGTTACTCACTTTAAGTAATTTAATGGATTACGTTACAAACTACATTTTGGTGTATGTAATCTGTAATCTATAGGGGAATACATTTTTAACGTAACCTTCCCAACACTGCATATATATTTCCAAACCGTGTATTGAAGCAGCCGGACTGCAGACGAGAGACTTTAAGAGCTAATCTCCATATTGTGAAGTGAACAAAGTGGTTGGTCACATCTTCAGGCTCATATTTTGTCAACAGAATTTCAAGACGAGGACTGTAGTTATTGTGTTTACTGATTTTTTTGTTTTGTTTTGTTGATGATTTCGCTATTTTAAACCACAAAACTTAACACAAATCACAAGAAATCACTCTAAGAGGGTAAATAACGATCAGTGTTGGGAAGGTTACTTTTTAAATGTATTCCTCTACAGATTACAGATTACATACTTCAAAATGTATGTATGTATGTTTGTAACGTAATCCATTAAATTACTTAAAGTGAGTAATGTAATCTGAATGCTTTGGATTACTTGATATTGTCATGGCGAGGAGAAAAATCAGTTTGTCGACTGGACAATAGTTAGTTTGGTTGAAGACGTTCTGCAGCTCATCCAAGCTGTATCTTCAGTTCTGGTCAGAATGCTGGCTTTCTACCTGGACGACTGAGGGATTGTTCACACATCTTGATATTGTCATGCTTTTTATAACTGCATGAATGTAGCAACCACATCCTGAAAATTCTTGTTGGTTCTCTTCAAATTGGCTGTTGAGCCCAAGTCTCCATGAACAGACTTTTATTTTGTGTAGAGAAGCAAAGACTAGGACACAGGTGTCAAACATAAGGCCCGGGGGCCGGATCCGGCCCTCCAAGACCTTTAATGTGGCCCTCTGCTGATTTTCTACTAAAATATATTAATTATATTGTCTTTAAAAAAAAATTATTTTCTGCAGTGCTTATCATATCAGTGTCTCCAGTGTCTCTGTACGTGGCCCCTCCCACCAGAGCAGCACAAATTAAGACTTTTCTCTTTCCAAACGCTCTTAAAGGACGATCGTTTTGACTGTTGACCGTGACATCCTCATCAGAAAAATGTCCAACATGAGAAAAGTGGAGCCGAGTGCAGGATTTTCCCCAAAAAATTGACTTATTCCTATTTACATACAATTTAATGTTAAAACACTGTGTTGAAATTACATTTTTCTTAAAGTTTCAGGTTGTTCATAATATTATAATATTTTGTAAAAGAAAGAGTTCATCAATTAAAAAAGATTTCTGTAATAGATTTGTGTTTCTCTGCACAAATATTTGAACTTATTGTTGTTTTTGGGGTTTATATGACTTGAGTTTTCTGATCCGGCCCCTTTGGGATCAAAGTAGGTTGGATACGGCCCCCGGACCAAAATGAGTTTGACACCCCTGGACTAGGATATGTTAACATAAGATGATAACATAAGTCTGCTAAAATACAATAAAAAGCCCAGTCTTTCCTTAACCATATTAAAAATATGATTGATAGAGAAATGCTTTCTATATGAGATCACCTTAAATTATGTCCACCCTACTATTAGGTGTCATAGTGTTTAGATTTAGCTTAGTCCTGGTGGAGAAAACACGGTCCACACGCGGCGCAAAGGAGGACGTCGAGGTCCGTGCAGTAGGAAGGAAACATGGTCAGTGCATTCTTAGGTTGATGGCGATGATGAAGGTGTGTGTTTGTGGGTGTTTGTGTGCTTTTGTGTGCGCATCCCCTCATGTCTCAGGTCACTATAGGACAGTACTGCAGATATCATGAGCCTTTGCAGTTTGTTTTCACCGTTGCCATTAGCTCCAGTTTGACATTTAACTTGTAGACGATTTTGTATTTGTTATTTTTTTATATCTCACGTAGATATCCAACCCCCCGCGTACCATGCCCACCACACGCCCGTCTCTCTCTTCTTTAAATACAAAGTGATGTCTGAATTTCCAAGACACTAATGCGTTTTTACCTGTGCACTACTGGCTCCGTTCTACTGGCTCCTCGACCTCGTCCATTGTGTGACTGACACCGGCAACGTTAATAAGACGTTTACACAGCTTTTATTGCCACGTTCTGCTTGGGTTTCCAGCAGTGAGTGGAATTACCAAAATAAATAAAAAATTAAAAATTAGGATATAGACCAAAATGTGAAAACAGGAAAATACCGCCATGTAATCCATTTATAATTTGTAATCCAATTACCACTCACTGAACCAGTAACTGTAACCGAATACTTTTACTCATAATTTGTACTCTGATTACGTAACGGCAGTTGATCTTTGCCGTGTCCCCAGTAGATCTCCAGCCTAAATTTTAAAAATTTGTGACTGCAAAGTGACAAACCTGTGAGTTTGTGAGTTTGATAATAATAGAACTTCTCTCATTAACCTTTTTGATACACTGTTAATTCTGTTTTGTGGTCAAATTTGAATTATTATGGTTGTTTGCCCTGCATGTGGTTTGCATTTTGTTTATATTGCAATTGCAGTTTTTTTCTTGCTGTGAGTGTTTTAATCCCCAGAAAACAGTTAAATGACCAAAACTGTTTTTCTGTAATGAGTGTTCCTTGAGTTAAATATTAGAAGATTGCAAAAATAAAGCGGTCTGGAACTGTAAACATGATGACTTTTGTTGTAGTTATTTACGTTCATGTTGGTAGATCTGCTCTTGCTTTTTCACGGACCAAGCATGTAGATCTTAGGCTGAAAAAGGTTGGTGACCACTGATATAGATATAATAGATATATATAGACACTGAGCAGCTTTTTATTCCCAAGATGACCGCTCCTGATCGCACGTCTCTGCCAGTGACAGACTGTGATTAGAGGAGAACGAGAACGAAATTAAAGCCTGCTGTTAACTGCATGATTTTTATAGGATTTCTATCTTATAAGATTTGTAAATGTCACACTTCATGACCTGGTAAAGTCATACGACAACACACGCACACTGTGTGATGGTGTGCACGTCAGTCATCAGTCGTGATCTATGATGAAAGTAAGTGGATCCATGTCACCTGCTGTTTCACCTTTGTAAAAGTCATTTCGTCAACAATGGTTTGATCTTTGTCCCTGTTTCA